TCGATTTGGGGATGCCAATTAAGTAGTGCCGTTTCTGCCTAAGTAAATCTGAAGAAGATTTAGGATGAGGCCAGACTGCTGTTGGATTTAAAAGCCAGACCGCTAAATCTGAAGGTCGGGCTCTGACCTTAAAACTTTGCAATCAAACAGCAAAGGGAACAGCTTTTCAAAGCATTTCAGGAGTGTAATATTTGTCTCATCAAGTACATACACACACACACATCTCACAGTCATCAGTGGGCTTGTGAAATATTCTGTATACCCCTGCACTGATTCAAAACCATGGCCAGCGGCCACACAACCCGGCAAGCTAGCCTGCACACCACAGATCTGTAGCTGGAAATGTCCTGAGCATTTGGAATCATACTAGTCGCCAGATGAAATCTGGGTTGTCTAGTGGCAACGGGTACCCAAAACCTATTGCCACCCCGAATCTCAAGTGTGTGGCTCAAGCTGCGGGTCAGTGCAACGACATTGTTGACCGCGAAGCGTCAGCTACCCAGCCGCTCCATCCCCTGGCACTGGCACTTATTGCAAACAACACAAGAGCTGTGCAAACCGGGAATTGGATCCCTATAGGCGTTCCTCCTATAATCCATTCCCCATCGTCAACTCCACTTAAGCAATGACTACGTCGTTGTTGATCTTGGTTTGAGGCTTTGAGGGTACGGTTAGAACAAGCTCAAACCAAACACGTCACACTTCCCATCGCGAACAAGATGAGCTGCAGCCTTTCTCACTACTGGAAATCGGTTGGCATCCTTCTGCAGAAGCCCTAAACTGAAACCCCTATGTGTTTGTGCCGGAATATCTGCTGAATCCTACGGTGGACACTAAAAATCTGCATGGCCCTGAGTACCTAATACCTTGGGAATTGTTTCTTGTATAGTAAGGACATGCAGGATTTTTAGCATCAGCAATATGGCAAGGAATCGTCAGGCCTAGAGGCTTAGGTTTTAAAATGCCACGCACAGCATGGAGAATGGAAGATACAATGGAAAGTACTATAATGGGGTTAGATAGGTTTAGGGTTTAGGGTTTGGAAAGGAAAAGGAATTGGACACTACTATAATGGGGTTAGATAGGTTTAGGGTTTAGGGTTTACAAAGAATGAAAAGAAACGTGGATAATACGATAGTTTTGCTATATGCACTTTAGGGTTTAGGCTTTAGAAAGAATGGAAAAGAAAACGGAAACTATTATAATGGGTTATATACGTTTATGGTTCAGGGTTTAGAAGGCATGAAGAAGAAAATGGAAACTACTATAATTTGGTTCTATAGGTTTAGGGTTTAGGGTTTAGAAGGAATGGAAAAGAAAATGGAAACTACTATAATGGAAGATATAGCACCTATGGGTTCCCTAGAGAGACTCAGAATTGTTGTCTTTCATTTTTCAATGGTTCCACGATTTCAGGTCTCCAAATCCACATGCTCCACCTCTTTTTGATGCAGCTGCTGCTTCCATGATCCCGAGAGCTACTGCAACGACTCCTCTGCCACTTTCTTAATCTTGAAGCCTAAACCCCCGGGAGCGCGGGTACCCGCGGAATAGATTCCCAGAGCTTAAGTAAAAGAACTCTACATGGGGAGCAGGGAAAAGAAAATCCGATATGCCCTCAAACCCGCCGAGACGCGTGGAGACTGTTGCATCCTCGGCTATCCGGTTCTCGTCGATGTCTTCTGCACAGAGTTCGTGTCTAAACGCACACACACACACACATCCTCCCGATCAGAGGTCTTCCCCGCAACCCATTCTTTTCTTGCCTGTGTCTAGTTGGAAGTAATTAATGACTTTCATATAGTAGGTCCTGCATACAATCGTATGAGTCCGGCCACCGCAGCTTTAGTATGTATCTTGGTTGCGCTTTAGCCGAGTCTCAGAAATGGACGCAGCCATTATCACCAAACTATTCTGCAACATTCCCTGGTTGGAGCCAGCCCACTCTCAAGCCACAAAGCACCAGACCATGATGCAGAACCTCGGAATTCTCCCTCCCTCAGCCCCAAACCAGAACCCTAAACACTCCGCATGGTGCCGTTTACGCTAAGCAAGTCCAGAGCACCGGAAAAGGTGATACATAAACCCCCCATATTCCCCCAACACACAGAAACCCAGACACCAAAAACAGGAACATCCAAACCCTTGAACTCAAAACCTTCCATCTCAACCTGCCACTCTAAACCCTCAACCCATAAGCCCTGAACCCTAAACCCTAAACCCTCAAAACACCCTCAACCCAGGGCCCTGAGTTCCCAAGTCCAAGCCCCTTACAACACCTAATAGTAATAATTTCCATTCTCTTTTCCATTATCCCTATCCCTATATAACCCCTATATAGGCCCTATATAGCCCTAATGTACGTAACCCCTATATACCCCTATATAGGCCCTATATAGCCCTAATGTAACCCCTATATAACCCCTATATAGCTGCTATGTAACCCCTATATCTAAGTGCGGTAGCCTCCAGTCTGGTTTTTGACCTCGAGGCTTCCAAGCTCCTGGATCGGCGTGCATGGGGTCTATAGGGTTTAGGGTTAAAGTTTGGGGCTTAGGGTTTTAGGGGTTAGGGTTTGGGGTTATAGGGTTTGGGGTTGAGGTTTGGGGCTTAGGGCAAAGTTTGGGGCTTAGGCTTTTAGGGGTTAGGGTTTGGGGTTTAGGGTTTGGGGTTCAGGGATTAGGGATAGGGGTTTGAGGCTTAGGGATTAGGGGTAGGGGATGATGATTCAACACAGTTGTTGGATTATGGGGCTTAGGGTGAGGACTTTATGTGGGTGCCGAGGATTAGTGAGACCCAAGCCTGGGCTAGAACAAGTTATGAGGGCCCGAGGTCAGAATGCAAAGCTCCGTTGTGGTATCGGAGCCTAGCGATGTGCATCAGCGTCAAGCTTATTAGAAGATAGCATCGCCCCTCCAGCGTCAGCCAGAACGTTGCAAACGTGCACACAAAGAACTGACGCTCTGGGCGACTAATGTAAGGCACTCGTTGCAGTAGCTGCTGTTGTGTCTTGGCCGCAAAGGCAAATTCTGCAGTTCTGGCCAGCGTAAAGACGCACACAGGCACACAGCTACTTGAAATTCAGTTATCACCCACCACCAAGGCCGCCGCCACCACCACCACCACTACCACCACATCATGGGCCTCGATCCGCAAGCTCTTCATGTTCCTGCACTGTCTCCATTTTGGAACGGCTGATGCTAGGTGAAGATCGCTGGTGCGACCGCGTCTTGACCTTGAAATTTCAAACGACATTAATGGCCCACGTGCTATCCTGCAGCACATGGCAGCCAGCCTGTTCTTGCTTTCCATGCAAGCGCACATTACTTGTTCGGCGGCTAGTGCATGATCCTTACTAGCTGCGATGGCCAAGCTTGTATCATATCAAGATAGCAAGCCGTATCGCAAGTAGAATGATAATCACATTGCCAACTACATGTGAGCTATAGTCTGAACTCCTAGTATCCCCCTTAATAACCCCTATAGTAGTCCCCTATATAATCCCCTATATAACCCCCCTTTAAGGAGTTTAGACTATGGCTCATGTGAGAACAGGCAGGCTTTGGCACAATCAGCAAAACCAGTGTAACCACCGGCCCAGCAGAAGCTGCAGATATGCCAATCGTGACTTCGCGGACATCTCCAAATCCTCTGCATCACCTGAGCATTCTCAGCTTTTGAGCAGATAGGACATAAAGGGCTCCAAACAGATAAGCATAGCTGGATGGACTGCACTAAGATGATTACAATAAATTTGGAAAACAGGCCCATTGTGGTGTCTAAGCCTTGCCTTCGAGAACTCCAACGCCTCACCACCATGCGGCTCCAATTCCACATCTGTTGCTCATGGGTACGCAACATGATGCTGAACAGCAGCAGGTCTGGTAGGAAAAGGATGTATCACCAGAATGGCAACAATAACAACAGCAAGCTGGCGGTATGGTGACCAGCACCCGCATCATGCTTTTAGCAATGACGAGAGGTTCCCCTAACCAACCAGTTTGGGGTTCCGGCTCATGATGCCGGTCGTGGGTTGCTCTCACTTTGTCGCCAACTTAGGAAACCTGCAACCCGTGCTCCCTGCAAAAACGTCGCCCTGAACTTTCTGAGCTTCCCCCGAAAAGTTGAGAAATGCCAGCTTGCCGTTCATAGGTACTTTGAAGATTACACTGGCCCAAATGGGCTCATGGGTGTGTGGCAATGCTTTGGGCGGCCCCCAAGCTGAAAACCCCAGACGCAACATCATCGGATGTGGATCCTGAAGCCTAGTCCCTAAACCCTTGACACCAACTCCCAACCCCCAGCCCTGACAGCTAAGGGTTTTGGGGCTAGGGTTATATCGGGGTTAGACTGGGATAATGGAAAAGCAAATGGAAGCTACTGCATAATGAGTAGGGTTTAGTACTTAGCCCCAAATTATTTGGTACGACCCCTTCCACTACAGGCTGGTAGTTGGGGTTACAGGTGAACTCTTCACTCCAAACGAATGGCTTTGACTCTTCCGCCATGCTCGCTGAAGCAGCACAGCGGCGGGCTCCTACCCAACAGAAAACGGGGGTCTTTGGATTGTTGGGCTCTGGGAGTTCTATGTCTTTTGCGATCGTGCAGCCCATCTCCTCTAGTTATGAAGGGAGACATGGGCATTTCGGAGGGAATTCCTAAAAGGGTCCGCTAAACGCTCCTTGGCCAGAATTGGAGGATGCAGAAAAACAATACGGAATTTTGAGACACCTTTCAGTAGGGAGCGCATGCTGACTACACCAAGGCCACATCGGGACTGTACAAGTGTGGGGGAAGTTCAGGTTATGCTCATGGGTCCGGTGCAAGTGCCCGCCGCCTCATGAGATGAGGGAGTTTGCGCATGTCATTCTTTGCGCCCCACTCTGATGCCTGTAGATTCTATGTTAGGAGGACCCCCGGCCCTGTAATAGTGGCATACTAGGAATATAATAGGACCCTAATATACTCCTTATTATCCCTTATAGCCACTATTACAGGGTGGGGGGTCAAAAAACGATACACCCTGACCAATGCAGAAGTTCTTGGTGGAAACACGTAAGCATGAGGCGTACAAGTCTGGAAATCGCTTATTTGGAACCTCCTCCTCCTGTAGGAGTTGGATCTACATGACCCTATCTAACAGAGCCTGGTGATGTCCAAACATGGTGACAACAATGTCATGTGAGCTATAGTCTAAACTCCTAATATCCCCCTGAATAACCCATATAATACTAACGTATATAATCCCCTATATAACCCCCTTGAAGGAGTTTAGACTATAGCTCATGTGTGGTAGTTTTTTTAACCAAAGGGATCCTAAGTCAGACCATAAATATTCACACTCTAAAAAATTAGATACTCTAACCGAATGCCATAATAACAACCCTACTTGATTCAGGCAGTTCCCTGAAATAGGAGGACTCCAATATAGACCCAAAACTGCTATCATCCTTAAACAGGGGGACCCCGATATAAACCCAACAAATATATGTAATCCTTTTCCAAGGAGCCCCCAATGAGGTACCCACAATTCTGGGAGCCCCTGGTGAGCCCCAGGGAAGCTCCCCTTGAGCCTACCTAAAGAAAGAGCGGCTGAAGCCCATCTGCTTAGCAAATCAAACTTCCAGGAACATATCATCACTACAGTATTATTACTATTTGTACTACTCTTGTTACTATAGCAGAAGAGCTCAAGCCCCAGGTCACAGGTCCTGCCATTTCTGGAGCTCCGGCATGGACTTGGAGGCCTAGTCGGGCACATGCATCGGGCTTTTGGTGGGCATGTTGAGTGTCAAGGGCTACATGTGGGTTCTGCAGTGACTGCACAAGAGTAGACAGTCTAGGCTTCTGCAGCCCCCATTTTGGATTGCTTTTGGACTACTTACAAACTAAAAAAATTGGAGGACTTCTTCACGTCTTGGAAGGTACCACTTTGCAACTCTGTGAATGCCAAAATACTGATTTGCGTGGATGGCAGTCTTGCTCAGCCAGCATGGCGGCTGATCGGGGATGATGGCAGAATACTGGCCTGGTTCCTATATCCTTTGCAGACGGCGAGCTTACTAATTAGTAGCCCCAACACCAGTATGGCTACAGAGACAATTGCCACGATTTGCTCGGCGATCTGAGTAAAAGCCGCTTGAAACCTTGCTGCAGATCCTCTACGCGCCAAATCCCTAAACATCATCGCACGCCCTAATCCCACTACAAGCCCAGAGAACAAACTTCCACTCCTAAACCTGTCACCTACCATAATGGATGATGCTCAAAGCCTGCAAGATCCTAAGGACTCTATACCTTGGGAAGTATGGTGCTATAGTAAACTATAAGGATTCTTTGTATCAACCGTGTGGCCCGCAGGAAATGTACCAAAACCTTCAGAACCCTTCTTGTAAGCTCTCTTGCAGACCTTTCAATTGGGTGTTTCTTTTGGGCTTCCCTACAGACTTACAAGCAATCCCTATACTACCGCCCCTTTCCCCGTCCCCCCCCACCGCTTTCCCCTCAGCAAGAGTTAGTTGGGGAAGGTTACAGCTATTCAACGTTGATTGAAGGCGAACCTCAAAAGGGAGAAGTTACTGGTGGTCGGCAGGAAATACAGGAATGGATCCGTATGGTAGTCCTTTTTTAGTCATTGGTGGTAAATAGGGAATAGAGGAATGAATTGCTGCAATGGTAGTCCCCATATAGCCCAACAATGTATTTCTGCAAGCTCCATTTTGTTTCCATTCCTGCATCCCCTGCTTACCACCAGTATGTTCAACTCATAGGCTTCTCTTTCTGGCCACACCAGCATTTTCAACTCATAGACTTCCCTCGTTCTGGCCGAAGCACCAATCTCTCCGCCTTTCTCTCGTGCACCTGCGCTTGGAGGTTCGAGTGCATCTCATCCCTTACTTGAGCCATATAGTCTAAACTCCTAGTATCCCTCTTGATAACCCCCATAGTATAGAGTTTAGGGTTTAGGGCTTAGGGTCTACACTCCTAGTATCCCCCTTAATCATCTCCACAGTACTCCCCCATATAATCTCCTTTACAGAGTTTAGATTAAGGCTCATTTTGCCTGAACTATGACGCGTGCGGTCAAAGAAAGAGTCTCTACCATTCAGTGCAGGTACCACTTCCAACTGAAACTACCACCGTAACCAACTAGTGACGAGTCTTTTTTGGACGGTTATCCAGGCTTTGAGTATAAGCTGGAGCGCAGGAGGGCAGCAGGCACAAGGAGGAATGCAGGAAGGACAGCCGCATATACAATGATCACAGGTGACCTGGCTTATCAGTGAATCCCACACCTAGATTTTGCCGCTCGGCGGAGAGGAGACCCCCATAGCTTGAGTGTCGACAGTGTCGCTCAAGGGCTCGCATCTGATTAAATTCGACAGTATGTATAAAACAAATATAATTCATGAATAGTGATGGCAACGATTGTAAAACAGTAGTACTAATAGCAATATTGATAGTGATTCAAGGCTCCTTAGGTTTTGCGTCGATTGTCTGCAT